CGTAACTGCGCCTCAGCCTTGCGTGAGATGGACAGCACATGCGTCACAGATGCTTCCTGATTCTTCTCATGCCTGAGCATTGATAACCTTCCCCCCTCACCGAGCTCCCATCTGGGACGCTGCACTACAAACTCCTGCCCCCCCCCCCGGCCCCCAAATTTGCTGGAGAACAACACACTTTAAAGCCACCTACGTATCAGGGAGTCTCTCCCCTCCTGCCCGAATTCACCTCGCACTCCGTCAGAGAGCCAAAGTCACAGCGACTTACCTTCAAAGGGGTGGGGGGGGGAGGATTCACCGGATCACTGACAGGAAGGACGAGACCCCCACCTCTGCCGGCGCATGTCCGTCGCTTCAGCAGCGTAGAGCGCTGCGCGGCTCTGCCATGCTGGTGGCAGTTCCAATAGTTGTCTCTTGTTGGGAGCGCTGTTACGGAGAGAGAGGAACGAGCGAGCGGGGGGGGGGGGGAGAGAGAGAGAGAAAGAGAGAGAGCGCGCACCGGAGCCCCAGTGAGCCTCAGGCTGCCCGTTCTGCCCCCCGTGTCGGTGCCCGTCCGTCTGGCGCCGCTCTGAAAGCGCTCAGCCGAGGCAGCCGGGTGCATGGAGCATCCCCACAGTGCAGCTGCAGTCCCTGCGCGCAAATGTGCATGTGTGCGAGCATGAGGTGTGTGTGTGTCTGAGTGTGTGTTAGTGTGTGGGAGATGGGGAGGAGGGGGTGGGAGAGAGAGGAGGAGGGAGGGAGGAGGCTGGGCGGGAGGGGGCTGCCGGGGATATCCAGCGCGTACGGACTGCAGCCGCCGCTCTCACTCGCACGCTAGCTCGCACATGCCAGCGGCAACGGCGGCAGCTGAGAAGCCCCTCATCCCGTCAGCTGAGCCGGTATCCTTGGTGACTCCATCGCCGTGGAGACGTTATGTAAGCCGTACGGCTGGGGTCCTTGAAGGGGAAGCTGTGAAGCTGTAATAATGCATCAAAGTCTCTTAACCGGATGCCGGCTGCCCACGTCGAGCGGCGAGTAGGAGAGCGGCTGTGTGTGTGTGTGTGTGTGTGTGTGAGGAACTCCTCGCTCAGCGGCGCCACCGCGAGACGCGTCCCAGCTTAACTTCCACCCCCCAGCAGGCGTGTCCCAGAGATGGTGGGGGCGCTATGCCCCACACCCATCCTAACTAATATTCTCTTTCTCTCTGAGTCCCCTGACAGCCAGCATCTGTCCAGGTGCCCCCCACCCCCCCCAAAAAAATGACTGCTGTATGCTTTTAACCTTCCCTTGGTGGGTTTTACTCCTGGGCTACACCTGCAGTGTGTTCTTTCTAACTCACTGGCTTAACTCGCACCTTATTATGAATGAAAACATCACCACACCTGCCCCCCTCCCCCATTATGTTACATACTGTCCCTGTCCTGTAGGGGGGCGGCAATTGCGTCTCGGGGCACCTTCCCTCATAGTCCTTCGTAGGACAGCCAGTGAGAATTAAATAAACCCCGCCCCATGTGTCATTCCGGTTCGCCAGCAGGTCACCGCGCTGCCGTGAGGAGGGGGGGCACGTCGTCAGGCTGCCCGGTGGCTGCCAGCCTGAGGGTTGCCACCTGCCGGGTCCTGACACCCCATCCTCGACGCTACAGGCAGCGGCACGGACACCTGCTGTCCGTAGCTCCCGGGTCCTTAATTTCCCTGCTCTCCCGCTGAGGTTTTAATGTGTCAGCTCTGACAGCCTGAGATGTCTCCCGGACCACGTGAGGGTAACTTCCCCTCATTCACCGTGCTTCATGACTGTGCCGTTTTTCTGGCCACACGGGTCACGGTGTGTGCAGCTCGTCAGTGTTCGTGTTCCCCAAATGTCCCCAGCAGTCCCTCCATCAAGCTTTCGGATGGGACCCCAGAACAATCTGCTGAACGTTCTTATTGATTTTTATTTATTTATTTATTCGTTTGGGTGTTTCGTGTGCCACGTACTAATGCTCAGGCCCCGCATCCTGTGATGCCTTTTGCTTTATGCCCTCCCCATTATGATTCATATCCACGTTCTCGCCTGCTGGTCATAGTGTTCCAGACGTTTACAGAAGGAACAGAGCGACGAGTAGGAGTAGGTTTTGTGGTCACTGTGTCCTCGCAGCTTTGAGGAGCCCAGAAGATGCTGAGATCTTTGCTCTTTGTGGAGGAATCCTGTGTGTAATCATCCCCCGCAAAGCCTGCTGGTGATTTGCATTTCCGGAGCTCCTCAGGAGAGACACCCTTATGTTTTAAAAAAAATACTGGACTACTTTCTTTCTTGACGAGATGCATTGTTTATGCGGGATCCCTGCCCTTTCATCACTCCAATCAGGTGAGGTTTTTGATGGCACTCTCGTCGTTCCGCCAATCTCCATCATGGATCCAAGACCGTAAGGCGATCCCTCATTGGCTGGCTGGTGCTATGGAGATGGCAGCCCTGCTCTGTCTCCTCCCGATTTCAGAATCACGTTTCCCCTACTCCATCCCAAGTCGGTGTGTAAATACAGCGCCTTCCCCACGTCTGTGTACGGGGGGGGTCCCAACCCTTAGCATGTGTACCTTTGTGCGCTGAGCCTCCTCCAGTGAAATGATGTTCGTCGAGCAGTAAAATCTATTTCCTCCTCCTGAATAATGGATGTCCTTGTTAATAGAGATGTAATGTTTCAGACAAATGGAGTATGGAGAGGTTTCTGCAGCTTGCGTAAGGAGCCGAGGAACTGGCCGATGCCGGGCCTCCTCATCCACGGCCTCAGACCTCCAATCCAGACGGCGGTCGTACTGTCGTTTTACGGTATTTTCTCTGATAATTCTGCACATAGTTTCAGTGAAAATCAGATTTGTTTGTTGAACTGCATGGGAAGATATTTCTCAGCAGCTTCCCTGATTTCAGAGCGCTGTGGTCAGTCGTGTCCATACATGCCGTGCTAATGTCTACAGTGTCTCTGATGGGGGGGCAGAGCATGTGTGCGTCTGTTTGCATGCATATGTGGCTGATGCAGGTCTCCCTGTCTGCATGCAGGACACATCATCCATGTTTTAGAATTGGAATCCCCCTCATATTTGGGCATATTTGTCATGCTCTAAAATGTCTCTCATGCAGAAGGTGTGTCACATGCTTCTTTACCACCTTACATGCCAGCCTCCTGTTCATTATGGCCGTCGCGCTCAGGCTCTGCGTTCCCGGCACGGACCATTTCGGGTGCCGTTCCGTGCGGGGGCGCGGAATCTGAGCCGCTCGGATCCAGGAGGGAATCTCATAGGAGAAACGCCATTAATCGGGCGTGCCATCTGACCCCTGCCCATCTGACCTCAGCTCCCCTTAAATGGAAGCTTAACATGGCACCTACCCCCTGCGATGAAAGGGGGTGTTATTAACATGATTATTATTATTATTATTATTATTATGCAAAGGTACATGTCTAATGGGATGCTTCAGAGGGGTATCAGCTGGTTGGGGGGGGGGGGGCAGATACAGCTGAAATCTGTTTACATGTCTCCTTGTAAACTGTCAGCAGCTTTAAATGTGTCCTCTTAAGCCCCCCCCCACCGCTGCACGTCTTGCTAGAGCTCAGTGTAAAGTGTAATTAGATGTCTAAGTCTCTGGCGACACGGCGGATCAACACGAGTCACTCACGCTGCCTCAGCTGCCGGCGGAGGTTAATGTCACCGCGGCTTCGCAGAGATCCTATCTGAGCACGGCGGCCGCCGGGCCGTTCATCGATCGCTTCTCATTGGCCTCGTATTTTTATTTTGATAGCGTTCTCTCGGTTGAGAGGTTGGTTATGGATTCCAGATGCATTGATAAGCCCTTCATTTCCCTCACTGCGGACCGAAACCTCGTCTGTCTGGTTTTTAAATGTGAGCAGGAAAGCTGGTTGCGCGCTCAATGTGCATTTCGTTTTTTTTTTTTTTACCGTTGCCGTGTAAATATTACAGCTCCTTGAGTCACCCCATCCGCACCAACCGCTCAGATAATGATTTGTATTCATTCAGAGTTTTGGCATGTAAGGGTGCACTTGTGATGCTGCTTGACCGTCCAGTAGTGCTTTCACGAGGAGTGCTATGTATGAATAATTACCTTTTTATGTCGTATTCTCAGCAGCTTACCCTCTACCTTCCATAGCGTTTGCTTCCTCTGTACAATGCGATTGAGTTTAGTGAATGAATTGTCCTTCCTTCAGCAGCATGCCTGGGCATTGTAGCAGTTGAAATAGACATGTCGTCTCCTGTGGTGATTCATGGTGCTTTGCAACACTGGCCAGATTTGAGCCGATTGAAGTGTCCCCAAACTTCATGGAGTAAAGCAGGCATGTAATCAACATTGTCCGAAAAATGATATGGATGGAGATGCTTCTGACTGGCCTGTTTGCTCCCTGTTTTCTTTACAGTGTGTCTTTACAAGTCATTTGGCTGTGGTCTGCTCTGTAATTAAATGTAATTTTGTATATAAACTGTTCCATCTGCAGTGTACCTGCTTCAGTCAACATCTCGATGGATGTTTGACAGATCGGTGTGTGCGTCTGCTGCTGGAATGGCATAGATGTGTGGAAGTGGCTGAAGGAGAGGTTTGAAAAGCTCTGTCCTGCCAGCTTCTGTGTGCGAAGACCAGAACCTGGCTGGGGTGCTGGACGAGCCAAGCAGAGATACCTGAGTGTTCAAATACTCGGTCCCAGTCGGCTTAATTACAGCCTAAAAGCTGGACTCTGTCTATCTCTGTGTCTCTGAAGAGCAGATGCCAATTTTGTCTGTCATTAGCCTGAGACTATTGCTAATCCATGCAGAGGAACAGTGTGCCGTCTGTGCATGGCGAGTAACATGATCCTTTGTTCCATCATATTTGCATTGAAAATCTCATGGCTGATTGCATTAACCAGTCGGAATTGTGCAGTCTGCATTTATTTAACCCTTCAGTTTTGCAGGGGTCTGCATTTTTTTAACCCTCCAGTTTTGCAATGGTCTGCATTTATTTGTCTCTTCGGTTAGGTAATGGTCTGCATTTATTTGACCCTTTGGTTAGATGGCGGTCTGCATTTATTTGACCCTTTGGTTAGATGGCGGTCTGCATTTATTTGACCCTTTGGTTAGATGGCGGTCTGCATTTATTTGACCCTTTCGTTCAACGGTCACCATTACTCACTGCTAGTCAGTTTTTTTTTGTTGTTTTTTTTTTCCCCTCCCAGATAGATTTTTTTGGCTGCTTTCTGCATTTTCCTATTTTGAAATGTTTATTTTGTTTATGACCTTTCCCTGTACAACACAGGGGCAACAGGATGAATGCAAACAGACAGGTTTGCTGGTGTCGCATCTGAAGGAGGAGCTCAACTAGCCTGAAGTCAGTGCTAAATATGAGCCTGTACTGTATGTGTGGGCTGGGAAGATGCGTCCTTTCAGGGTAATGAACTAATCTGTCAAATTATCAGTAGCGGCCGCCGTGATTGGCAAGCAAATGGAACCGGGCCGTGATAAGACTTTTATTATGATTTTTTTCCCCCCAGTGACATATGAAGTGAATCTGGGGCAGCTGCAGGGCTTCAGCCACCGGTCAGGCAGTTTCCTTTTACTGGTGTCCTCAGGCACACGATGGGGGGGTGGCCGTATGGATGTGACCACATCGAGGGGCATAAGATTTATTACGATTCATTTTGATGTTTACAACCCCGCTGTGAGCGGACGCCCATCCTCCAACACGCATGCCCTTCAGCTGCCCCCGGAAACCACTGTAGCAGTGACTTTGTAGCGATATGATCAGGGGCGGGGCCACAGGCGCACTGGTCCCAGCTGAAAGCTGATTGGCCCTTGGAGTGCTACCGCCTCTGTCACTCACCCATTCAAAACATATCGTTGGCTAATAAGGGTGGCTTGTCTGTTAGAATTATGTTCTCACCTATGCGCCCTACTTTAAAAAAAATCCTACAACCCCCCCCCTGCAAGATGGAGTACTGTTGGATCATGCAGCTCTGTGGCATGGGGTGGGGGCCTTCATAATGCCCTGTTACCTATCCTGGTGACATTTCCTGACCGAAGCAGAATAACAGGAAACAGAAACACTAATTCATTGCTTCGTTTGTCATTCCGGCTCTGAAAGGCCACTTTAAATGTGCCCCTAGTTCTTTTCCGGAAGCCTGTTCCTGTCTTTCTCTTTATTTAATATCCCGCCTGTTACATATACTTCTGTCCCGCACAGTGACATTAATAAGGTAAATGCCACGGGACCGGAACGCGGCGCACTGAGTCGGGATGCCGGCGAGCGATGGATCTCTGCTGGCTCTTCTAGGGAGGCATTGCTGGGTCTGCACAGAGGCAGTGTGTTGTAAGCTGCCTGTTTGTTTCCTTCGCTGCCGTTTCTATGGCAACGTTCCCTGGTCCATCGCTAAGTGAAAGTGAAGAGATCAGGCCTTTGAGGACAGGAGGCGTAATCTACTATCATGCAGGACGGCGTTTAAAAAACTTATATGTGTGTAAGTTATATATATGTGGTGTGGGCTCTGCCCTCTTGCTTCTGCCTGCCCAGTGGTTCTGTTCAGACTGGGTAAACCCCATCCCAGTATTGGAGATTGACCCGACCCGACCAGCTGGTGTGCACCAGAGCCCCCAGTCCTGCTCGCCGCATGGTAATCGTGATGAGGCGGCAGCCTCTCTCAGCTTTAATTCATCCTAATGGGTTTTTTTCCCTCCATTAAGGAGCAAATTGGTAAAATAGCAATTACTTGTGTTTGGCGGCATAAATATCATTCCAAGCTGGGCCTAATGCTTCGTGAGTAAAATTAACATTTTTGGCTTTTGGTGGATGTTATTGCAGCTGGCTATCGTTGGGCTTTGAGCTCCTCAGCTGGCTATCGTTTGGCTTTGAGCTCCTCAGATGGCTATCGTTTGGCTTTGAGCTCCTCAGCTGGCTATCGTTTGGCTTTGAGCTCCTCAGCTGGCTATCGTTTGGCTTTGTGCTCCTCAGATGGCTATCATTTGGCTTTGAGCTCCTCAGCTGGCTATCGTTTGGCTTTGAGCTCCTCAGATGGCTATCGTTTGGCTTTCAGCTGCTCTGCTGGCTATCGTTGGGCTTTTAGCTCAGTTGATTATCGTTGGGCTTTTAGCTCCTTCGCTGGCAATCATTGGGCTTGTAGCTCCTTCGCTGGCAATCATTGGGCTTGTAGCTGCTCAGCTGGCTATCGTTGCCCTTTTTGCTGCTATCGTTGGGCTTTTTTGTGTTTGGGGACCAATCTGCTTCGAAAAAATTTTAGTCAGGATTTGTACTTTCTAAACCTGAACTTTTCTCCTCTGGTTAATTGGGTGAGCTACCATTAATGTTTTATCGGGTTACGGGACTCATATAACTGGACCGTTATCTGAGTGAATGCAAGCCTTAGCGAGCTTTAGCTGTGCGAGCGGCATGCATGCAGCTCATCCCCAGTTTGAGCTTACGATTCATCTTTCTCAAAGAAGCTCGCATCAGATAAGGACGCGACTGAGAGAGACCGGCGCCAGGTCATTGTTCCTTCGGAGCTGCCGCTTCCCAAGCCGCTTCAGATTACTGCTCCGAATAGAGACTTCGCCGCTTTGTCTTATGTCTTGTTTGCTCCTCTTCTCTCTGCCAGGCGGTTCTTTGCGCTCCCCGAGTGCCGTAATTGGGAGGATTTGTGGCGATTTTCAGACAGCTCAGGGTTTTCAGCAAGCTGTGTGGATCGTGTCTGGTGGTCACAGATCTCCAGATACCTCAAACTTATGTCCGCGCCTCACAGCGCCTTTTCACACAGCAGTTCCCCCCCCCCCCCCCCCCCTGAGCTACGCTCTGTCGCCCCTCCGTTATCGACTGACTTGTTTTAGCTGGGAAAATTTTGGCTAGTGATTCTGGGGTTACAGGTGCAAATCCTGGGTCTGAGTCTGGGGGTGGGGGGTCAGGGGCAGGGAGTCCATATTAATCTCCCAGTTGTGCTGCCTTGGATAAATGTTGTTTTGAGGCAAAGGTGCTTCTTGGCAAATAGTAAATCTGAATATAATGAGAGGGTAGTGTGATGCAGTGACCTTTTCCTGCATAAATTGGAAGGGCTTTTAGCCTGGCTTGCTAGCATTTAAGGTGCATGCAGATTATCTTAAATCACCAACGCAATTAATCAATTAATATTAATAACGCTTTTGGCTCTACACGCTCCCCTGGTCAAATGAGGAATGTCTTTTAAATTAAAAGGGCCAATTTTATCATTAGCCAATGATAGTTGTGAATTATGAGTGACAGGGGGCGGGCACACTCCGGAGGCCAATCAGCTTTCAGTGCCCCTGTGGCCCCGCTCCCTGTATTCGGCATTGATACGATGGCTTCTTTAATAAATAAGCGATGGTAATTATTTTTTTTTGTGCTCAGTTCACGCTGCTAGTGAGTCCTTTTGCTGACACGTTTGCCGGAGACGCACGTAATCCCGACGTGCATTCTCGCCTGCATTGTCCCCATCAACGCGCCCGATTTGGTTTATGTCGGCGTCCCTCCTCCCCCTTATTGCGCCGCAGCTGCCGTGACTCCCGCCCGGTCCGAGGCCACAGGAGTCTGTTTCTGTACCATTAGTTTGCAGTAAGTCTCCAGCTATTAGTGATTATCAGATGCTGGTTCAAACCACGGGATGCATTTCCTGTTTTTTTTTGTTTTAACACCCTGCCACCTTTAATCACCCCGCTTGGCATACGGTACCTGCTGTTAAAGAGAGGGACCTCTTGTGGCGAGTATAAAATAGAACAACCGTGAAGGCCACATTCAGCCTGCGAGTGAGTCCGAATGCGGGGCCCCCGTTCCTCCACTCCTCTCTGCTTTGACGCAATCTGTTCCTTTGGGGCCTTGGCACAGATGTCGAGCAGAGTTATTGATTTTAGTTACAGCGTTTGTTTGTCTGTTCTCCCTCTCCCCCCTCCCCCCTCTGTCCCCGTCCCCTAGGGCAGCTTCGTGGCCTGTATGACAGCCATGCTGCGGCAGATGGAGGATTACCACTACACACACCTGATCGGCGCTTTCGGCAAGATGAGGACGGACGTGGTGGTGAGTGAGCGCCGCCCCATGCCGCTGCTTCTCTTGTTCCCCTCTGGATCAGCAGCCCGCGCAGTAAATCGCTCAGCTGGCTATGGGATTTTCTTACCTGCACGAAAATGTTCTGAGGGCAGAATGAAAAATGATTGGTTATCTCTGAATCAATCAGATTGTAGAATTTAGTTTTAGGATTTAGTGATCAATTGTCATTGTTGACACACCACAGCACACAGTGCACGACGACGAAATATGTCCTCTGCATTTAACCCATATGTGACAATGTGACATAGCAGGGGGCAGCTAATTCAGCACCCGGGGAGCAGTGCTTGGGGGCGGTGCTTTGCTCGGGTTGGTTCTGTCTTCTCTGGTCGATTTGACCCACCTCCTCTACAATCTGATTGGTTCAGAGAGAGAACCAATCATTTTCCATTCTGCCCTCAGAACATTTTTGTGTAAGGAAAACCCCGATGAGCCAGTAACTTGCTCACTCGCAAGCCCACCAGCCTTATTTTTCTACACATTAACTCAAATTAACGTTCCCGCTCCACTCCTTAATCGCATCTACGAGCCCCCTCCCCCAGTCGAGATGCCGGTGCTGGGGAGCCACCTTACCTTCCGGTGAGGGGGCGCACCTGTCGATCTCCTCCCCGGGCACCTCATCTTGGGTTCATGGCACATGGTTACCCCTGACAACCGGTCCCATGGCAGCACCCCCACTTTAATGAAACACAGACTTATTACCCTCACAGTGCTGGCTGGGTCAGGGCACGCCAGCGCGAACCCCTGGACACTGTGGCTGTAGGTATCCTACAGCTAGATCTTTCTGGTCGGGGGCTGCAGGGACGTTAGGGCCCCCAGACCTGGGCTTGTCCTGATTGGCGTGCCTAAAGTAGCCAGACTGGCTGCGGCTGAGTGGCCGGTTCCGTAATGCTCTGCTGCAGCGGAAGAGTGCAGGTGATTACCATGCTGACTGGGGAATTTCGCTGTTCTGCGCGGTTTTGTGTGTGGGTGTTTCACGGATCGGAAGGCCGCCGGTTTAAATGCCAGGGTCGGCAGAGTGATGTCACTGTTGGGTCCTTGATCCAAGGCCTTTAGCACTCAGTTACTCCAAGGATCGTCTCACCCTGCTTTCTCATGTTTTTCCAGTATGTAAATATGTAGAGGCATGATCCTCCCACAGGGTGGCGCCGGTTCTGATTCCCTCCGAATAAACCCGTTACCCACTCCAGGCTCCGAGATCAGGATCCAAAGCTGCCACCATCATCTGAAACGGTTCCCCCTCATTTCTACTGCAGGACTTCCTGATGGAGACCTTCATCATGTTCAAGGATCTCATCGGCAAGAACGTTTACCCTGCTGACTGGGTGATAATGAACACCATGCAGAACAAGTAAGTGTGGGCCTTCTCTTGCCCTGCACCCCCCCACGCCTCCGCGTTGCCTAGAAACGACAGATGGGTGGCACGCTGTGACGCTCCCGCCCTCATGATGCCGGCACGTTCTCCCGCTCCGCATCCCCTGCCATCGCCCAGAGAGCTTCTCCTTCGGCGGCTGGCAGCCGTTCCAGCCTCCAAATGTAGCGAGGGGGGCCGGCGGGGGCCGGGGGCCGCGACTCTGTCCCCCGCAGCCTCCAGCTCCCTCGCTCTCTGAAGGATGCTCCTGCTCTCTGCATTCATTCAAAGGCTCGTAGCTGCAAGATTTGTTCTGGTGATGCGTGCGTGAAGCTTCTAGGCAGTTTGGGATCATTTCAAATGCGCAAGAACATTTAAAGTGCGTAAATGCATAATTATTATACGGCTAAAAGTGTTTTAAGAAAATGCTGTGGACGCACCTGGAGGGAAGGGGGGGGGGGGGGGTATATAGAGGGGCCCCAAATTCTGTCCACTGTGTGTGATTTCTGCTGGGGGTGGGAGCATGGCTTTTGTTTGCCTGTAATACCCCTCTATATGCGCATTGATAACAGTTTCTTGATGGAAATATGTTTTTCTTGGTCATGAGTTAATGAGATGGCTGCGGGCTGCGCGGAACTGGGTTGTTTGGTATTGGAATTCGGAGAACCGGCGATTCTGGAGCTCCGCACCCGGATGGCCTGGCGTGTCCCATGTCTAGGGCCGGCTATGAGTGGCCGTGGCCTTCCTGGAGCAGGAAATGGGTCAAACACAGTATCACCCAGGTTCTTCACTTTGTCCTCCTCTTATGTGTTTGTCTTTCACCCGTCAAACAGTAGGGGGCGCACTCTACATGTCAGCCCTCTATTGGGTTTGTCTGAGGAGCTGTGGGGGTGCTTCACAGCATGTTGGCTGGAGGGGGGGGTGGCATATGCCGGCAGGTGTCTTGACCTGCATCTCTGCCCCTTGTCATCAGCTCAGCCTGGTGGCAACCAATTAGCTCACAATAACAAACGGCCAAGGGTCCTTTTGTGTCTCTGGGATTGGGGGGCGGGGCAGGGGTGATAAGGGCGCCATAAGGGAGCCCAGACCATCTGGGGGTGTGGTGAGGCCGGCTGATTGGCTGAGGATCAACGGTCAGGCACCGCGATGGTCTGTCCTATCATGCAGACACCCTGGTGCCAGAGGTGGGAAACTGAGATCTTCTGCGTCTGACATCACCCCCCGTGTGATGAGTCATAAGCTGGGGAGGTGTGATGTTGGGAAGCGATAAATATGTTCCTGTTTGTCTGGCCGATCAGTTGAAACAGCTTGATGTTTCAGCCGGAGGATCAGAGACACGTACGGTGTTGTTGTATTTATGGGCTTTTCTGCTGTTGGTGGGTTAATGCTGTTCTTGATCACACAGTTGTAGGTTGTGTGTCTGCACATGCACAACTGTATGACAACTGTATGTGTGCATGTCTGTGTGTGTGTGTGTGCTTGCGCATGCGTACATGCGTGCGTGGGTGTGTGTGTATATTGGTGTTTGCATGCATGTGCGCATGTTTACGTGCGTGGGTGTGTGTGTTTTTGTGCGTATGGGTGTGTGTGTCCCAGGGTCCCACAGGTATATATTACGAATGTATTCCCGTACTTAATCAATCCTTGATACCCTTTGCGGTCACACTGTGACCAAATCGCTCCCCATGTGTGTCACGCAACTCGCTGTGCCGAGCGGTGCCGCATCCCAGAGCCGGCCATTTGTGTAGCCAGTCTGACCCCAGCCCGGGGCCCAGGGGGGACACCCAGGCCATTCTGCTGTGGCACAGCATACAGACTAATGGCCCTTTATTGGCTTTCAATGTCTTGCACCGTCGTTTTTCTGCTTCGTATTGAGTGCTTTGTCCTTTCGTGGGTACAGCATATCTCACCCACTCGAGATTCTGAGATTCGTTCTCCAGTGTTTGTCCAAAGCTTCACCCGCTGCTGCTGGGATCATGGGGGTGTACTGTAGGTAGGTGTGCCCCCCCCATCCCCCCCCCGGTCAGTAGGCTTATTCTGCTTGTTTTCCAGACTTACCAGACTTAACACTTACACTCCATTTTATATCCATCAGACAAAATCCTGCTAAGTTGCGTCTGAGTATTTCTACACGGGGAGTCCTTGCGCGATTTAGTTTTGGATTTTAATTCTTCTCTTTAATTAGCTTGCACATCATGAGAGGCTCCCTTTTAGGTAACAGGAACAAGGGACACCGAGGAGACCGTCTGAAACAGGACACCTGTAGATATCCCTGGAGCCGCTTTGGTGGCTCAGGGAAGGTCTTTGAGCTTCACTTTATTGCCTGGCCTCCTGTGCCATGAGTATTAAAACACGACATCATCAGGTCTGCTATGATTCCGGGAGCCTGTTAATAAGAAGCCAGTGTCACTCACAAAGATAGAGATGGCACTGTGGAGACTGACACAAACCCTCTCCGAGCCGTGATGCACATGTACAGTAGCTGTGCCTGACCGCCGTGTTTGATCAGAAGCTGCTTCCCTGACCGCGGAACCAGAGTCATGGTTCTCATTTAATGGGCGTCTGGACCTCACGACTCGGTCCGGCTTGTATTGGTGTGCGGGGCCGTGGTCATGTGGAGGTTTGGGGAGGAGAGTGTATGAGCACCAGTCCTTTGTGCACCACAGCAAAAGAGAGAGCACTGCATTACCTGTTTGTGAATGCTTACAGAATAATTATCTGAAGGAAGAAGGGGTATTTGTGTATGAATATATGAATACAGATGATGGTTTTCTAAAACGAGAGATTCTTTAAAGATTTTGTAATTAACTGTGCGGAGTCTGAGATGGTAGAAAATGGTAGACTTATTCAGAATAGAAGCATTCATTAACACAGGAGTGTGATGGTGGGATTATTGTGTGGTGTTTGGGGGGGGGGGGTGGGCACTGTGGTCCACTGATCAGTTTAATTAATCATTGCGCGTGTGCGTGCGTGAGCACACGTCTCCGTATTCGGCTGATTGACAGCCTAATAATCAGTGTATCTGCAGGAATGTGCCACATCCCTCAATTACCACTCGCAGGTTTTCCGTGGGACGCACTCCCATTCCTGCTACAGGAATTATTTTGCATCATTTGCAGATCCCTCCCTAGTGTACTTCAGATGCATTTATAACCTGTAATTTATCGTTTGGATTTAGAAAAAAAATACTTTAATTGGACGCTTACTTGGATGAGCATTAGAGTGCAGAGCTCCCTCTCTTTGGCGTGTTGGGCTGATGGTCTCTGCCTGGTCCTGCTTGCCAACACTTCGCGCTTCACATGGACCTGTCCCGTTACCCTAATCCTTCAACGCCAATTACAGCTTCATTTGGTTCCTTGAGGCTGCAGTAAATGCAAACCGTTTAATTGTCCTGCAAACAATGGCTGCCTTACTTGCCCCCACTGGCCTGCTGGACTTTGATCTTAGCTTCATGCCTGTAGCGTTTGTGGTTTCAGTCACACATTCAAATTAGTATTTATTTTCTTTTTTTGCTTCTGACCGGAGAGATCTGTCCAGGTCAGACAAGTTTTACATTGCAGAGCAGTATAAGCATGTGTTTCGGGATGTTTATAGATTGTCTCTTGTTCTTAAATGACACCCGCACGTTATTAGCAGTTAGCATTACCAACGAATTGCTGTCGACATCCTGGGGAATCGATTTGTGTTTTTGAACCGTGTCTGCGGGGGATAACGGGCAGGCGTCGACACCCATGGAGCGGTACGACATATCCCCATATGCCGCTAAGGCTATTCGCACTCTCTTACCGCCATTTAAACGCTTACAGCATTCCGCTTGGGGCGCGCCATCGCCGTAATTTTGACGAATGGGGTTTCCGGAGGAGAATTCCCAAAGCTCATTAACTGATGAACTCCCGTTGCCGACTCCGTCTAACCAGTCCACCCAAGCGCCCCCATGCCCGTCTAATCGTGACTCTGACGTCTTAGCGCCTCCTAGTGATGGCTGGTGACTGCAATGTGTTTATCACGCTTTTCTTAAACGGTAAGGAGGGCTCTGTTCGCTGTTAGTGCTCCTTTATCTGTGATCCGCGTTTCTGTGATTTATGTCCCTTATTTGTGCTGTAACCCGACTGGTTCATCATAGAAGAATGCCAGCTAACCACTGACCACCCGTTAGGAGAGACTCCCCCAGACATTGGGGTTTTTATTATTATATAGCTTCCCATGGTGGCATTAACTACAACCCGCCCCTGTGGCTGCTCTTCGTAGAGCAGCTGTCCTCAGACCTCTTTGCACTCTGCACCATCAGCAGGATGTGAATCTGCTTGTAGCTGCAGCTCTGAGTGCCGTCACCGTCCCTGGAGTCAAACCCGGGACCCGAGCCGTTCCTGACCGAAGGCCGTGCCGGGCTTTACTCTGTGCCGGTACGCATGGAGACTCTGTAGCAGGCTGTGGCACCTTGGCCCCCATCCATTTGAACTGAACATTTGGGTCAGCTTCATAAAACCGTCCCCCCCCCCCCCCTTTAAAAGACAGCTACGACTTAGACGTGATGGTCAGGTGGTCCTGTAGCCGTGTGGCATTTAGAAATGATTTGGGATTGATTCGCTTATGGAACAAAAACCGCAGTGACTTGATCTCTCCAGGTTACTCTTGTGTGTTGCCCCCTCTGGTCTCGTGCTGCCTACCCACTCTTGTGTCGCCTCCTCGCGTCATGTGACTTTCATCCTCCGCAAGCTATTGGCCGAACCCCATCTGTTCTTGGGGTCCATTTTACCACGTGAGTCATATGCTGTCTGCAATATGTTTGTGTATCCCGATGTGATGCGGCTGCATGCATGGGAATGCGAGTGTGCCATTAATTCCGCAGTGGGCTGAACATGCAAGTAAACGGCTTGCATCATGTTACTGTAACGAGGCTTAATGACCTCAGATGATAGTTTAGGGCTAGCGAATAGTGTGTAGATGGAGCTGGTAATGCTCTGCAGCCTGGGCCACCTGCACAGTCACCTATTAAATGC